TGCATAATTTTTTATCTGGGAACAGAAAATGGGATTTAGATAATCTGGAAAGTGTAGAATTCCTCACTTCTAACCCTATTCTTACACCACTAATCAAGGTGGCCCACACTGAATGGCAGTTCAAATAATGTCCCCTTTGTTAAGGGTCAAAATTTCACTCCTTATCCTCAATATCTATAGCACTAATCATAGCACGATATCACAATAATAGCACTTGAAGTGATTCAAATCCCACTATAAAGCTTGCAAGACAACAGAAGCAAAAGTGACCATCAACCGTGGGCAGTCTGTAAGGGTAAGCTGGTGAGGACAAGAGAAAGTCAGATATCCCTTAACCTTGGGTAAGCTGTTTCAGCTTATCAAGGCTGCTGAAGAATTTGCTAAGCAAGAGGCTTACACATTCCCTGCATCTTGTATTCTTTAGGATGGGAAACAAAGTAGAAGAGGAATAGCCAAAAGCAAACAGATGAAGGGGGGCGGGGGAGAAGAAAAGGACAATCGCCCACTAAGTAATAGAGGTTCCTGGGCCAGGAGTCACCTTGGCAAATCCTATCTTGGAGCCTCCAATTGTTCAAGCAAGGCTGCCAACCATGTGTCCTAGTTGCCCACAAATAACACCCTTGGAGTGGAATTACTCTCCTACCAGAGCTTCATTTTTTCCAAACTTTTCTTCCCTCCATGTGGTTGCCCAAACCGATTCATGTGCTTACTGGCATGTTATGAAACATGGAAACAATTAGAGACCACATTCTAGGGCACGAGAGAATGACTCGCTACAGAATCAATGAACTATGCAGAACTTGAGAGGATTTGGCAAAAAAGATGGAAATTGTAGAATAAGACCTACTAACAGTATCTCATGTCACACACCACGTTCTACAAGGCTTTAAACTGATCTGTGTGTTTTCAGGCAACGATTGTACTTTACTTTCAAAATCTGCAGTTTATAGCCTTATATTTTGTTTCTTTATATTTCCAAATGACACTCAGAGAATATTCAATGTACACATTCTCTCTTCAGGGTTTGAGAGCTGAAAGCACACTATCCAAACAGTCTTCTAAGTTAAGTTTGGAATTCTTGCAAGGCCACATTTGGGGGGGATTATTTGAAAATTAAAGAACTTAAGTTTCCAAAAGACCAATTTGAGTCTTAAGTCATCACTCTTGGAAGGGCTTCTTTAGCCAATGAAATGTTAAGAAAGGTCAGTTTTTAACAAAAGGCTAGTGAAACTTCTAATACATGCTAATGAACCCAAGAGCCTTTTGTGCCGAGTTCTCTGTTCTAACTTGGCAAAGGTTTAAGCACTGCTACTTTGTCATCCAAAGGCCTGAGTAAGAGGCAAAGCACAATGCTAGAAAACACAGGACACGGGTAGTAAGGAGGCAATTCCCTAGCACTGTCAAGTAAATAAGAGGATGGGGAAGGGTAATGCAAAACCGAATCAAAAGGAAACATTGTGTCAAGAATATATTATCTTTAGTGACAATTACTACTACATGTAATTCATGTGATATTACTATTTTTATATTGCATTGTTTGAAGATTATGGTTGCAGTGGAAGCCACAGCCAGAAGTCCTGTGGTCCATGTGCTGACTGATTAATGATTCCCTGCATCAGTGTCTCGATTCTGCAGATTCTGTCCTGGGGAAGGCAAGGGCAAAAGAAGCCCATGTTCTGAGCTCTGTTTGATCACAGTACATGGGTGTTACACTGGAAACGGTGAGCAGAATTCACCATGAGCAGTGACTGTGAGGCTGGTCAGGATTCACCAGCATCCACAGAGAATAAACACATTGCATTTGGGAATAAAACCTGAACTATTTGAGAGCAGCTTTAGGGGAAGCTGATGTTGTTCTGGTACATCCTCCTAGTTCTCTGTCTCAACAAAACACTAACAGCTGAGATTCACTGAGGTGACTTGTCATATTCCTTACCTTGGTTAATGCCACAATAATTCTTCTATGTAATTTAAAAAGAGCAAATGAGACTTTCGGGGATCCCGGTAATGTGTTTATTGTCACACAGCTAGTAAGCACTATGGCTGGGATCTAAACCCAAACATTTGGCTTCAAGGCACCCCTCCTTAGGACTGTGTCATATAATTCCCTTCTCTCTGATGGTGGTATCCCTAGACAGTCTTGTGAAATATAATTTATCTTCTCTTTCCTTTCCTCTTCTTCTCTCTTCCCCATCCCAAATCACCAGTCAACATGTACTCCTGCATAAAAGTATTCTACAGTACACAGAAGTGTTCACACACATATGCACATATACTTTTTTTTTTCCCATATACCAAGGTGTGGGGTGAATATTATTTCAAGAACCTGAGTGAGCCTTCTTCCAAATGATGAAATTTCAGGCTTCAGCCCTTGGAGAGGTGATTTGTTTCAACTGCCTAGACCATCTCCCTTTTTGAGGGAGACTACAAGCAGTGCCTAAATAAAGCCAGACTAATTCAAACATCTGCTTTGAAGTTGGCTACTCAAAAGTGAAAATTCATAGAGTTCCCAGATCAGCCTGCATAACCCACAGAGTTCCTATAGTATAAAGCTATATATTTCTGTAACAATTAACCACTATTTTGAGAAACTCAATCCAAGTTCTTAGTTGCGAATCCAGGAATGCTTTCCCCTTTCTTCTGAGACTGTAGGAGAAATAGCAACTGGATGGGGAAAAAGTGAGGTGGGAGGATATGAGGGAGAAGATGCAAAAGCAGATGAGGTAGTTTGGGGGACCAGAACTTTGCTAGATTTCTCAGTTGCATTTGGTCATTTATTCTCAAGCATTCTAGACTGGTGAACAAGGGGCTTTGGGTCAGGGCTCATTTGTATGGTCAGATTGAGGATGTTGAGACTCCTCCGTGTTGGCTTATGCAGGTCATCACAAGTTTGGGTACAGAGTGAACCACCACAGAATAAAAATCACAAGACAGCATTTTAATTGGGCTCCTTAGGCCATTTAACAAAGGAGAAAGCTAACTTGCAGGAGCAAAGAGTAATTAATGAAGGGAGCAAACAGAAGTTCATTTAGTAACTTCAAAATAAGTTCCTCTGTCTGAGGTGGGGCGGGGAAAAGGTAGCCTGCAACATAAAGATAAACTGTAGGTATTTAAGTCACAATGCCTTCCGCCAAGAACTGCTCATTACCATCAGATGTTGTGGTGGCAGTGGGGCCAGTTAGAACTAACTTTATTATTAGAAGCAATTAGGGAGAAAAGGGGCAGAATTTCATTTGGTTATTTCAAAACAAGTTTCTGTGCATGGTTTAATGAAGGCCTGCAGTGTCAAGATAAAATGTGTGTTTTACTGAAAACAGCTTTTGCAAATGACTGCTTGTTACCAGCGGTATCTCCAGGCAGAGCAGGCTGGGTAGGTTGGATTTACATGCGTGCTGTAATATAATAGTTCAGCTGTCTCAGCTTCACCCAAGTGTTAACAGGCAATATGGCCTGATGGTTAGGCACATGTGTTCTGGAGCCAGACTGTTGGTCTTCAAATCCTCACTCTGACCTTGATAGCTGAATGACGTTAAGTGACCTTCTGGGATGTTCTAGGCTTAGTTGGCTCATAGGTAAACTGGAGATCTTAGTAGTGTGTATCTCACAGGACTGTTGTGAAGTATCAATGTGTCTAATATGTGTTAGATGTTGCATCATGAAGAGCTATATTCACGAAACAGTTGGGTAGGGATTGTTTTTATAGGACTTGCTATATAGGGGTTACCCTGAGTAAAGATCAATATTGGATCCATTTGCATCTTTTTAATGCGGTTTTCATGTAAAAAATGACAATGACATTTGTCTTCACAGTTTTCACCTAAACTCCTTTCAGACAATATTTCAGTATTTCTATACAAGTCACATGTTATAAAGAGATTTGATTGCTTTTTGGGTTTGGTAAACCAGTGGTGTACCACATACATTACTTCCACTTTTAGGACTTTTTATTTTTTCCTGAGCTTGAGTTCTCTCCTTAGGAATCACCTGCATAGCCTTCAATCTTCCCTCATCTGCAAGCCTGGACTAAAAGAAACTGCTATGTATCCAGCTTAGGAGACCATTTAAAAAACTCAACTGTCACACAACAAATGGGGAGTTGGGCTTTGGCTTCCTTCTAAATATCTTTTTGAGGCTACTGCGACCACAGTAAAAGAAATCGCTCACCAGTGGTTTCAAAACTCTGCCCCAACTGCCCTACTCTTCAGTGAGAGTATGTGCTGCCTTCAGTGATTTTTCAGAGACTCCTTCATTAAATTCTCAAAGTTAAAGACTGATTTTCATCAGATGGCTACAATATTTGCATATTCACTTGGGAATATGGCACACTGCTTACCCATTATGTTTTAGTTCTGCAAATCAATAACATTTAACTAATGTGCCATGCACATACTATTGGACCCGTATGATGAATAAAACCCCCTTCTTAGACCTTAACGAGCAATGACTATTATTAAAATCTATTCATTTTGGAGAAGGCTAAAGTAGCAAAATGCCCTCTACACATTTAAGTGTTTTCTCAGCTGTGTATTAACCCATATCATTTTTCTGGCTGCCCTAACTTAATTTATGCTAATTTGAATAATTTATATAAGAACCTCTTTCATAGAATTTTAGACTTTACCCTACAGATTATGAAAAAGAAAAAGTTAAAAATACTGACAAGTATATATTGTTGGGATTCTCCCCCAAAGTCTGTGTGTTCTTGTTCAGTGTGAGTTTTCAAAAGAGGTTCAGGTGAATATTTATTTTCTCTAACCAAACTGTCTACTTTTTTGAGTACTTTTTTTTTTTTTTTTGGCAATCACATTGTAATGAGAGAATTTCTTCTTAAAAGACTCAGTGTTAAAGAATAGTTTCATCAGAGCTTTTGATACCCATTCAGAGTTGTTTCTGTTAGAAAGTCAGAGCTTAGGGAAGGGTAGATTCTTAAAAGAATAAAATATGCAACATAAGGACTACCTGAGGAAAGATGTGAAGAAGGAGAAGGTAGATATTCTTACCCTGGATCGTTCTTCTAGTTTTGTCATCATCACAACTGTTGCACTCCGTTGCTCCCATATCATCCTCCAAAAGTCCCCAAATGTTTCGGGGAGAGATCCCTGTGTTGCAATATAGGCATTCTGTTTCCTATACCCATCTATGTAGTTGGCATTCACATAGTCACTTCCTGGGATGCCTGTAAAACAAGAAGTGTTATTCCATGAGGTGAACCTCTCATAAGAAAAAAACAGCCTGGGATCTGGTGTGAGGGCAATGTTATATTACTGTTCTGCACTATGCTAGAGGAATCAAGGATTAATAGCAGAGCCGTGGTCTAGAGGTCAAAACAGGCAATAACCACATTAACAAACAAGTATATAATTACAATGTGTCTTAAGCAAGATAAAATCTCATTGGGACTATCACATTAAAGAAATAGGTGGTCCAAGCATTGGATCTCTGTAATATGACAAGGTAGATACCAAAGAAAGAAAACTACAACTGATTATCCATACAGTGCTATTTTTCTCACACACTGTCTATTTTCTCCACTGCATCAGTAAAATACAGCATGCAAAGGAGGAGAGAAATTTATCTGGTCACATTCCTCACCCATGCTATACCACATTGCCAGACAGAAATTAAATAAAATAATGCCTGAGTCTGAAAATGCAGTGTAGGTTAGAGCATGTGTAACAGTGAGAAATTCTGCACAAATTTAGCTAACAGGGAACTCATTTGTAAACTCATTTAATCCTTAAAACAACTCTATGAAATATATCCTGTCAGGATCTTCCTTTAACAAAGGAGAAAACTGAGGTGCATAGAGATGAAAGCTCTTGCTCTGACTGGTGGAGTCTGGTTTAATGATAGTCCGTCTGTCTGCTACAACTGTCTTAGTCTCCACAGAGATCGCTTCTTGTTTAAACCTCACAGTACTGTTGTACTACGTGCACCTTTCTTGGATTATGATGATTGCCTCTTAATTGCTTATCCTGCTCTACTTTTGTCCTTTGCAGTCTGCTCTTCATCTAGCATGAGAGCAATTTCTAAGAAAATATTTCAGACACTATAACTTCTTTCCTTCAAACCCAACAATGGGCTTCCCTTTTACTTCTCTTAAAACTGAAACTCTCAACTATAGTTACAAAGCTCCACACTTTTCCAAACACATCTTGTTCTACTCATCTCCTTGCCTTCTAAATTCTAGATGCTGGTCTAGCTTCTGTTGGTAGGAAACACTGCTCTCCTACCTCAGTGCCATCCGCCACCTTAGAACACACTCTCTATCTCCTTCCTGTTGTAAAACACTCCACCAATATCTCAGAAACCCTGCCTTTGATTCTCTTGGAGCCCAGAACTTCCTTGACAACTCTTTATAGTATTTACTACACATTGTAATTATATACTATTTTGTTAACATGGTTATTTTCTGTTTTGACCTCTAGACTGGGTCTCAGTTATTAACCCTTGCTATCTCCAAGGACAAAAATAAATTTGCCCCAGTTCTGACATCTAATAAGTAGCAGAGCTTGAATTTGATGCTGGTGTTCTGATTGAAAGTCTAATTCAGTGTGACACCTTTAAGAGGAATATAAAAAGATAAATCTGAGCTTCTTCCAAGGAGAGTGACCAGAGAGGTTAAGGAAATCAAAGCTGTTCTGTATGAGAAAGGAATACATGGTACAGCCTGGCAGAGGAAAATGTAGGGATTGGGGATGACAGCTGCCTGTGAGGATCTGAAGAGAGGGTTAGGTTTACTCTATTGAGATCCAAATTTTTCAATTCTGAACGATGTTACTACAGACAGAAGAATTTCATCTCCAATATAATAAAGCATTTTCAAATTGTCAGAATCAAAAAGGGAATAGATTTCCTTGGGATGAAAGGAGTTGCCTATCCCTGGAGGGGAACAAACACTTTACATGGCTACTGGCAAGATACGAGAGGTAGAACTAGAACCTGTATGTGGCCTCTTCTTGTCTTGGGAAAAAAATGAGTCCTGGAGCTATGAGAAAGAAAAAAAAAAAAAAAGGAATATTTTCTTTATAATGGAACATATGTTCCCAAGCTAAAATTGTTATATTTCACTGATTGCCACTTGCAATTACTTTGACTGCTTTTCTGATTCCACTTGTAAAACTGATCCTCTCAAAAAAGTAATGAAAGTCAGATGGGAACTACTGGGCTCCGAGATAAACACATGGATATGGAATACCACCAGCATTAGTGAAAGCCTTTTGAGTAAAAACCTAAATGCACAGTTGGTTGTAACAGTATTCATCTATTACAGCTACTCAAGAAGCAGTTGGGGGTTCTGGCAGCCCTTTGTTGATAAAGATCCTATTCTTCCAGACACCAAATTACTGTAGATTCAAAAGACAGTTTAAATAAAGTCCTCAGGTTACAGCCATTGGGAAGCACACACAACCTCATGTCCATAGAATTTGGTTCTGAGCCAACAATGAATCTATTTTTAATACAGGAAAAGCCCACTTTCAAAATTTTAATGTAATAGTTAACAACATTAAAAAATTGATTTAAAAAAAGGGTTCTGGCTAAAGGCATCCCTCAGCTACCAATATACAGAAAAGTTTTTTCCAAGTACATTTAAAACAGAGAAATCTGGGTTAATGACTTAGAAAAATCCATCAGCTTGGCATTGTGCCATTTCCCCCTTATGAAGGATAATGATTATATCTGAATAATGTGTCAGAGAACAGAGGAGATGGACTGGAGACTCACATCCAAAAGAAGAGAATCAGCCCTGCCCAACATTCTTATGTAAAATTTAATCATTTATTATGTAATGAATTGTTTTTTGACATAGTGCTTAAGTTTGCATAATAAATTATGATTTTTTTTTAGGGGTGGGGGGAAGTTGTGGGGGTGGGTTGCTACTCAATAATACTTGTCCTTCCCAGGGATGAAAATACAAAAAAATCTGCCTGAAAAATACTAGGCACTTGGGATCTGTACTATATCACCAAATGCTTTAAGAATTTGGGACCTGATATTTTGAAAAGCAAGTTAAAACGAAAAATTTCAGTACCTAGTGGAGTTAATTATTAGGCTAATGTTTACACCTTGAAGATAATGCTGAGGCTCCTTTTCTATTTTGACACTCATCTGACTGTCAGATGAGTGTCTTTTCTATTTTGACACTCATATGAGTGAAGGCCTCCTTCCAGGAAATCCCTTTATATGCTCCAGCAAAAAGACATTCCAGGTAAGTTTTCTCCCATACAACCTTTACAAGATGGGGAAGTGAGAGATGACTATGTATCTGTAGCTCTAAGATCTAATGCATCTGCATTTCATACAACCCAAGCAACAAACTGTGTAGAAAGACGAATATGAAAAGATTTTAGGAAGGGTGGTGGTTTGGCCTTTTAAAAACATTCACCACAGATTGGGAACTAAAGTTGAACAGAAGTGTGTTTCAAGTAGATGAGATCTTAGTTTTCGCTGTACCATATTTAGAAAGATTTTTCAACCAGTCTTGTGAGAAAAACAACCTGGTGACTTTCCAAGTGTTTTGGTGCCATGAAATGTTTCTTCAATAGCTCGTGATTGTAATGTTTCTGCTGGCAGGCTGAATCTAGAAAACCCTTTCATTTTTTGGGGGGTGACCTTCCCCAAGTAATGTATATTTGTTTATTTAATTTTCAATTCCCTGCCTTATCCAGAAGATGATTTGCATCTGCTAATGCAACACTAATCAGAGTGCACTACTAATCCAAGAGAAGTGTGTGAGAATTAATTGAATTTCTCTGGGGCTATGATGGATGGAAATCTTTGTTAAGTTAACATGAAGTACTGAAAGTATATAGAATTAATATAAATTAGCTGATTGCTTTTAATTTTTAGAGTCAAGGAGACCTTTGTCCAACACTATGATAATGATGGTGCTAGTTGCTTTCTTTCTTCCTTTCTTTTTTTTTTTTTTTTTTTTGGTGGGGATGCCTATTAAAACAATGAAAGCATAACAAACATGTCTGCCTTTAGCTCACCATAAGCAAATATCTTAGGTCTGGCCCTGCTGTAGGAATTGTCTCTCTTGGAGTCAGTTGGTCTTAATGTCTTTATTCAAGAATAGCTTACTACCTTTATAAAAGTAAGTTTCATGATTTCCCATGTATTACTTCATGTGTACTCTTCCCTTACCAATAGTCATGTAAAAAGGTCCAAGACCCATAATTATCACTCTAATCATATAAGTGAGAAAGGGGCTGAGGCTAGATCTTGAATTCATCTTACACCTCTATGTCCCTTTTCTGTGTTATAGCATGTTTCATCAGGTAATGGACTGTTCTTTCTTGTGGTGCTGCAAATATTACTTACATGCTTATACTGGGTTTTGTGTTTGGGGCAAAGAAAACTTGGAGCTATAAAACACAAGTCTGTAAGAACAACACAGATTGTGATGAGATGAATGGTGGTAGAACTGAGCTTCTATGTCCTTCATGCATAGCAAGACACAGAAACAATTACTTAAACAGAATTAGGACAGTTTTAGGTTCTCATTTCATTTGCTGGGAATTGCTGGTTATAGTTTTCAGTGGAAAGTAAGTCTAGGCACAGACTTCGGGCTCTGCTGTTCTTTTAATTGTTTGCAAAGCTTTGGAAAAGTATCATGAATTCAATGTGCAAGGACAATGCCATTTTTCTTCACCTAAGCACAGGATTAATAGAATAGGGCTTCATGATATTGGTCCCACATGTGTTTGAATCTTAACAGAAAGAGAGGAATCCTTGGAAAGATGAAGCTACTCTGAAAGAATATTTGTGATGAATAGACAATTCTTCACGCTGAAGACATGACATAGAAGACATAGACAATTCATGCTTTAAAACCTTGGAAGCATGTTAAACTGTCAGTGAATACATGATCTGAACTGTTTCATCATGACTGGGTTAAAATATTTTTTTTATTCCTGTTAACCTCCGGAGGACTAATTGGGTCATATGGGCCTATTAAAACAAAACAAAAAAAAAAAAAAATAAGGGGTGCCTAGGTGGTTCAGTTGGTTAAGAATCTGACTCTTGATTTCATGTAAGGTTGTGATCTCAGGGGTGTAAAATCGAGCCCCATATTGGGCTCTGGGCTGGATATGGAGCCTGCTTAAGATATACTCTCTCTCCCTCTCCTTTTGTCCCCACTTAAAAAAACAAAACAAAACAAAAACACAAACA